TTTTTTCTGTTTCTTCGTGGGGTCGTGTATGCCGGGTTTTGAGACCACGGGCTCCCAATCTTTTTTTTTTTGGAGCCAATGTGAGAAACAACAACAACAAACAACAACATCACACACAAAACATAAGTTGATGACGAAAATATACACACCCCGGGACGCGCTTGCTCCGCAACCACATAACGGTGCCATAATAGAACACCCGACAAACCGAGTTCCCCTAAAACTTCCGTGTACAACATAACATGCAGATAGATACACAAGATGGCTACCAAACTGCCTTGTTGAGCCTGTTACCCACAGGGGAGTTATCGTTGTATGCTGTCTGGGGAACCGTGGACATACAGGTAGCCTTTCGCTCACGCTATGGATTCATTTGTTAATCTATCTTAGACTGATTTCTATAGATTGAGATGGATTTGTTGTGTGATAAATTGAGAAAAAAAGAATGCTAAATAAAGGGTGTGTTCTGCAGGGTAACCACAAAGTGTACCGGCGGTTTTTGGGGGGTATTTACCCTACATAACGTTACAGACGAGTGCTGTGGCACTTCCGATACCCTACAGAACACGTCTATGAGGTTCTGTGACGCTCCAATACCCTACAGAACACACCCTTTTTTGAATTCAAGCATATTTTAGGCGAAAACGGCGGGCTGCCATTTGGTTCAGTTACTTCGTCCCTCGTCTTCTCTACTGCTGATGCACTGAATCAAGGCGAGTGGTGATCATTTTTACGCTACACAGCACCAGATCACCGATCGTTGGTCGCTCCGGCGGCCTACATCAGCATAATATGTTCTCATGTATACCGTAGGTCCACCCGGAGAATCATCTAGAATTGTCTGGTGAATATGTAGCGTTTAGGGGTTCTCGAATCTCAGCGAGATCTATCTATTTTCACCTACATACAACAGCAGTATGTATGCATCGTAAATAGTGGAGAGCGCTCTCGTTCGTGAACAGACTTTACTGAACACCCTTCGTGCGTCTGATAAATGATTGCAATGCACCGCAGACAAGGTTTGTCTGTCTGTGTAGCCTCGGAGCTCTTCTTCCGTAGGAAAGGCCGTAGGCTGCACAGAAGAACATGCGAGCGACGGCTGCAGCAGCGGTGCTACTGCTGTGAACGGGATGGTGGATACGACAGGGAGGGAGGTTATTGCGACAGGTGAAATGTCCACGCAACAACTAAAAATCTACGCAGACCAGCACTAAATCGTCTCCTCTTGAGTGCTTACGACGATCGCCAATCCTCTTCATTTGAACATGAGTAAATTACGTGAGGACTGCTATAACATGGTGTCAAGGCGGCGCATTACTGGCGGAAGTGATGTCCCTCCGTCGGGAATCAACGCGAACAAGCCAAGAGGTAAAACGGGCGTTTGTCAATAGCCAAATCAAGCCCTCGATCGCTGCCGCCCTCGTCGCCGCCGTCGCGAAAATCAGGTTGAAAATGCAGGTGCAAAGCGTGTAAGTAGCACGTCGTGAGTGGCACTGGTTGGATATTAGGATCCGAAAAACTAAATGAAACACTGGGGACTCCACAGGTGTGAACTCGACCGGTCGAAATGTCAATGTTCCGGGCTACAATCCCCGCAACGAACGCTCAACAGCTTCAACCCAACCCCTCCCCCAATAAACTATCACGACCCCTGCCCGACTATGCGCCTCGGTTGGGCCAAAACGTAACCCCCTCCAAGGACGATACGGCAACCACAACTGCAATCCTCGGCGCGTGGACCACCAAAACTGTGGTGTCCTCAGTCCAGCACCCGTTCTTTTCGCGCGCTTAGAAGCAAGAGAGTATACTTCGGTGGATACAAAACTGATCAATCCCCAACAAGCGACACTTACAAAGATCTTGAAGAGCAATATGTAACATGTGTCGCTTCGGCCGAAAAAACGAAAAAAAAAAAAACTTGGAAAATTCACGCCCAGCATCCATCTCATCCGCGACCTCGTCGCAAAATAGCGGCAGGTACCTGGACATGCCAACCCAACGACCCCGCGGAGAGACGAAAGCCACGCCCTTCACCTCCCACGCCTCCCGAATCGAAAAGCTTACAAGACAAAAAATACCAAGACACGTGAAGTGACCATCCCTTCCACCTCCGCAGCAGGCCACCGACTACTATCCCCCCCATCTGCTCACGCCTTGTGGCCGCTGTACCTATTATTAGGTCGTCGCCCTGTTGGCAAAGAAGAATACATATCACGCATCCACGATACTGCTTAGACCGGCGGCAATTTCAGGTCGAACTCCTTGGCAAACCTCTCGAGAGAGTTCCTAGACCATCCGCCGGTGCCGGCGGCGGCGGCAGCGGCGGCGGCCGCCCCACCACCCCTGCCATGTTCGATGCCGTTAACAACGACGGCGGCGGCCGCGGCATAGTGCATTTGGCACAGGCTGTAGGCCTCCTGGCGCTTTCCGGCGGCGAGGGAAGCGGCCACCATGCCTCGCGCGCGCCCGGCGCGCACGAGTGTGCTAACCATGGTATGGAAGTGCCTGGCACGGAAGACAGACGATTGGAGAAGATCGACGGCGAGTGGGGTGGGGGGTTGTACTCATAGTCGTGCTTGTCGTAGTCGTTAGACCATTCACCTCGCATCCCTACAAAGCCGGGACGGAGCACGTCGGGTTCTCACCGGACCAGGCTCTCACATCACCAAGCGCGAAGCGCCGTGAGATACTCGGCGAGTCGCATGAAGGGTGCGCTGCATCCTGCTACGGGTGTTCGGCATCTTGTGCTTACTTCCTTGCGTACGGATGACAGCTGCGTATGAATTAATTATTTCCTGGTGCTTTCACTTCCAGAGGCAGTTGTAAGCACTGTGTAACTGCCTCGAGGGTGCTTGACCATTGTAACATACCGTGGTGCGATCATCCCCCTTGCGCGGAGTGAGGGTTCTCCACCCCGCACAACATGACCTTCTCGACCACCATCATGGTTACCGCAAAAAAAAAAAAAA